CACAGTATGTTTATCTCCTAATTAGCCTTTGTTTACCTTTTTTTATTTCATAGTATTAGGTCTATTATATCTATATTCTACTTTAACTTATTTATTTACCCCCTCTTTTACTTACTTCATCATACTTTTGCACAAATCTATTTTACCCCATAATTTATTTTTGTTTGGTGTCAGATACCTTATTGATCCTATTTTTATTTTGTTTTACTATCGAATAGTGATTGTACCAGGAACAAAAGGGAGTGTATACTGCCCCTGTCGGTGGCACCCATCACAAACAAATATACTGAGTCAAATTAAACACTTCACATGTTTAAAAGTAATCCCATATATGATATACAACGGACAAATATATCAGAGAAGTTAATTTTTAATCATTAATGTTCAAAAAAGGATTTTGATTAACGGTGGTAACCATAATTTGTTCCAAGCACCTACGGTATTCGGTAATAACATCAACAGTTTAAAGTCCCACGCACGAGAATCTTATGGCACACAAGTTCAGTAGCGTGTATGGCCACCATGTGCTGTTGACAACTGCCACACAACGCCTCCGCATGGACCTTGTGATGCTTGTGAACACATGATTTGGAAGACGACGCCATTGTTGCTGCAAAATGGTGCCAAGATCTTGCAAATTCTGTGGTTGGTTCTGGAGAGTGCGCAGACTTCTGCCAAGAGCATCCCAGACGTGTTCGATGGGATTGAGGTCAGGAGACCTTGACGGCCACTCCATGACGCTGACTCCCGCATTCTGAAGGAAATTCCTTGTCACAATTGCTGTGTGGAGTCTGGCAGTGTCGTGTTGGAAGATCAAAGCGTGTCCATGTGCTGCCATAAAAGGCAGAAGTTCTGGTGCCAGTACCTGGTCGCGGTAAGCAGCAGCGTTGAAGTTGCCACGGATGACAAGAAGCCTGGAGCGTGCATTGCCACAGAAAGCACCCCACACCATGACACTTCCGCCTCGAAATCTGTCAACTTCATGTACACAGCACTGGGCGTAACGTTCATGACGGCGCCTCCACACCATCGCCCTACCATCAGCAAATCGAAGATTAAATCGGGATTCATCACTGAAGAAGACTTGATTCCAATTCCTCTGAGTCCATCGTAAGTGTCGCTGTGCCCACAATTGACGTTGACGTCTGTGTAATTGAGTCAGAATCGGCCAGCAGTATGGCCGTCGTGCTTGAAGGTGAGCAGTTCTCAGACGGTTTCCAACAGTTTGCGCAGTCAGTCTACCCCTAAATAGTTCATTTCTGGTTGATCTAGCCGTCAAAAATCGGTTACGATGGTGACGTAGACAATCTGACGATCCTCTGCAATGTGACGTCACACGTGGTCGACCTGGCCGAGGGCGATCAGCGGTGGGACCCGTTTGCTGTAGACGTGTCTGTAAATCATAAACAGTCCGTCGACTACAACCCATCGTCATTTCGACTTCAGCTACGGACGTTCCCGTCTGCAACATGCCGATGGCACGTTCACGTTGCACATTTGAAAGCCGTGGCGTGACAAATGGCCGTAAAGACTTTTGTTTTCTTGTGTTTTTCTTTTTTTTTGTTAATGACTGCTAACAAGTATGGCTGAAAACACGTGCGGTATTATGGCCACGTGACCAGTTGCACGTGAAAAAACACTTTTGCCACTATAGCGATGTGCACATGATTGTGATCGATTCACCTGCACAAAAACGGGTGTTATCTGAAGACAATACCTGGTCATTACTGTTTAAATACACAATAAGGGCCCACAATGATAACTGGTCAAAATGTTAAAATTTTAGGATTGTGAAGTTTTTAATTTGGTTCTGTATACAAACGCATGTCAGTTGTTTACAGTTATTCAAAAACTCAAAATATGGAATTGCATCGGATATGCTGTAGTTTGGTAACCATGGTGATGTGGCTCTGGGTCCAGCGACTGCGTCATCATCTATGCTCCTGAAATGATGTTATTCTTGATGATATATTAGTTGATTAGTATAAGATTTCTTTAGTTTTGTTTATAAAAGATCTATCTTTGTTTTTTCCAGTTGCCACAGAGGAGACAAGGCTGTATGTTTTTGAGTACAATTTCAAAGTAGAAATTTCAAGTTTTATTCTTATTCCAAGAGGTGGAATGAGGGACAGTTTCCTAAGGTAAAGTTAAGCATCCGATGACAATACAGATATATATAGCTGGACTAATTACAAATCAACAAAGTAAATATACATTCATATCACTTCATATCTTTTACTTTAACATTCAGTTGACAAAACAAACTATAATGTTCTTGATATTTCAGAATTAAATAACTCAGCAGTGACTTGTTTTGGGATGTTCTACAATCAAGAATGACTGATCATGATTGATTACGTTTACACTTTCTGGTCAGCCTATCATTGCTTTTTCCATAAGTACCGATCACTTTAGTACGTTCTGAATTGCAGGCTTTGCACGAGGGGAATGCACCCCATGTGTGGCTGAGCCGTGGGATTCGGCAAGTGATAATGCCCAGAAAAATAGTGTTACCCTGATACTACTGATTCAAAGTTCCTGGAAATAAATATAGATATACATAAATATGTTCCTACTCTCTTTACTTGATGAAATACTCCAAACACGTAGCCCCGCCGAACCCTTCGACAGTAATTGTACACATGTGCCTTAAATAGTTCTATAAGAAAAGAATTGTTAAAAACAAAATGTCTCCCGTCCACCATGTTTTTTAAAAAAAATAGTCAAACTCTATCCATTAATTCATTGCGGCCTTAACATGTACATGCTAGGCATGCTTATACTGGAAATGTACCCGAATATACAGCCTGTTTATGAGGGACTGGCATGGACCTGAACAAGTGAGTGAGTTTGGCTTATGGACACAAAAGCACGATATGCGAGATCGCGACATTGGTCAAGTGTCGCGATCTCGCGTATTTGAAAATAGTTGCATATAACTGTATAGGCAATTACCACACAAGCACGAGAACGCGACACTTGACCAATGTCGCGATCTCGTGTTCTCGTGCTTTTGTGTCAATTTCGCATACAGTTACATGTAACTATTTTCAAGAACGCGACAAACGCGAGATCACGACACTTTCGTCCCATATAGTCTGACAAGCCGGGATATAACTGAAATATAAATACTGTTCAAAGCGGTGTTAAGCCAAACTCACTGACGTATTCAGAGCCATGCCGGTCCCTCAGGCTGGATATTGGGGGTACTTTTCCAGTATAAGCATGCCTATCACATGGATGTTAAGGCCGCAATAAATTTACAGTTAGAGAGCAAATGATTTTATAAAAACACATGGAAGACGGGAGGCATTTTATTTTTAACAATTTATTTAGTTCCTATCGAACTATTCAGGCTTATCTGTGTACAATTGATGTCGAATTTCGAAGGGTGCGATTCACATGCATCATGCGTTTTCACTAGGGCTACGTGTTTGGAGTATTTCATCAAGTAAAGAAAGTAGGAACACTCATTTTAGAGATATTTCTAGGCATAAGAATAATGTAAGGCAGGATGTTTTGTTGTCAGAGGGGAGCGGAAGAAAATATATTAATAAATTTTGTATGACCTAAAGTAGCGAATGTGGTGTCGAATATAAACATCGGACAATATCATTTAAGCCGAATGCTTCAAATTGGCCTGTGAGAATTTTTCTTAAATGAATAGTCTAGCCGTGTATAATATTGCCTCATGGTGAAACTCACTGGCCTGTGATTATTTCTGTAACAAACAGTGTAGCAATACTGCTGATGTGGTTTTAAGCAATATTTACTCTCTCTCACTGACGTTGATATTTTGTTTTCAGCCCTTCCGGATACTTTAATGTATTAACTACCATTAGACATTCGGGTACAGAATATTTCTTTTGTTAATTTATATTGAGCATGTTGAGGGTCTTCATTTAATGTTCACAGGAAACTATAGCAACGGGAAAGGACCCTACTCTACATAGGACTTTGTGTATGTAAATTACACAGCATTTTCAAGCTCAAGTCATAAGTTTGGTAAATGCTACTTGGAGAATGAAGAGCATGAAAGAAGCATGACTGGGCCTTGATATTATGATATTACGCATGCGCATGGACAGCGTCTAAAACGCGAGAACGACAGATCGCGAGCAAATGAAATGTCACATTCTCGCGGTATCGCGATTTCGTGTTTTTGTGGCATAATTTGACATGTCGAGATTGCGAGACTGCGACATTTTACAAATGCTTCCAAATCTCGCGTTCTCGCGATCTCACATTCTCGTGTTTTTGGCAAATCTAGCTCGTTTCCAAAGGTCGAGATCGCGAGAATGCGACATCGCGAGAATGTCCCTTACAGTATTCCATAGGTTAAGAGACTGTGAACTGAAAAGTTCCCACACCCATGGGCCACCCTATAACAACCACCTCAAACTTGGTGCTGGAGGAAACACGGTGTGGTCTGGCTTATTATGTATATGTGTACCGCAACGGCCAGGATAGTTCCTACAAAAGCTTCTTGCTACGTAAAACCAAAGATTTGAAACATATTGCAAAGACAAAATTGTATGGCTACCTTACAGACCCAGTTTCTTTAAATCACCACATTAGAGTATTCATGTTTTCATACATTAACGGAAATTAAAAAATGGAATAATATACATGTGACTATAGGGCAGTTGTGTTCCTGGTTGTGATGTGAAAACATAATGAATTTAAATCAAGTTACGGTGCACTATATCGAGGTCGTAAAATGTTGTATTTTACTGTTTTGGTCCCTATAGCAACACAAAGTTTGGATCTTTCTTCAGTTCAGGTTTAATATAATGTTATAAGAAATAATTATGACAACGTAGTCAAGACAATATGTATGATGTAAATAATTAAGCTTGTGTTTTTCAGCAAGATAGGAGTTAGATTTAAAGTATTTTTTGGACGAATGTGCAGTTTACCTGGATACGTAACTCCCTTATGCTTAGACACGTATAGGCTGTAGTTGAAGAAACATATATAACAGACACTCAAAATGTCATTCTTACACTCACTTTATTCTTTGAATATTAACATAAAACACTCCACCACGATCTGTATCTCCACTTGGGACAGCATATTGACTCATCCGCTAGTCCAAGCCTTGCAGACAGAAAAGAACGTTGCTGGAACGTTTCATTTTCTTGTGGCAACGTTGGAAATAACATTGTATTGTTTTCATAATGTTGCTACAACGTAATTTAACCAAAACACTTTCCTGCAACTTTTCTACCCCATTGTATTATCATATACTTGTATGCATGATTGGCAGGCCTGTCATATATTCTCATCACTTCTTGACAGGGTTGATGTTTAAATGACGTTTGTCCTAATTTCCATTTAAATACTTTTCCCTGGGCGGACTCTCTGTAGTTTGAAAATGGCGATCATGAGGCAGGGCTGTTTCGAATATCCGAATAGTTTTATTTTTCAAAAAGGTTTGTAAATATGGAACTTCATACCAAGGTCTGGTTTTTAAATGGCAATAATGATCTTAATTTAGTTTTTTCTTTTAAATATTACATACAACCATATAGGATCCTCATGGTTGCCATGCAACTGTGTCACAACGTTACAAAACGTGATGTGACAACGTGACATTCCCACAACTAATCCACAACGCTGAGTGTTTGCTGGGAAGTACCATCACAGGAAGCTATCACACAGTCTACACACCACTGAAAAGGAGGTAATCACACAGATCACAGAACACACAGAAAGACATCAAACCGAACACGTGTCACTGCACATAAAGGAATCATACAGATTGGCAGCAGACACGGAGCCACTACAGAGGACGAATCACGCAGATAACATGGCACCATGCACGGATGTTGCCGCACAGATCACAAGCCACCAGTAGCCATACCATCAATATGCAACCGCACGGGACTCAACACACAACCACTGCATCGTCAGTTTAGTACTTAGATTTGCTTGGATTGAAACCTTTGTTATCGACACCAACAACCACGGTCTCTACCGAAAGCCGACTTGCAGAACAAAATGTTTTCTGCTTTTGCATTAAAGATACCATAACCAAAATCGATGTCACGAGAAAAGAAGTTCCAGAGCTGTAGAACGTAACTTCCTTCCCAAGTCGAGTTGCTAGGTAACCTGAAAAAAAACATTATTCAGACCAATATTCGGCATGAATTGTCTTTCTTTAGTGAACATAACTACAGATAGGTACTTTAAATTGTACTACTAGGATGAGGCGTGTCATCTTATAGTCAGGTTCATGGTAAATATTCAGACTCGATTGTGGTGAGGCCGCTATAACATCGCTGGAATATTATTTACTGCGGCGTTAGACAACATTTAATCCCTCACTCAACTTAAATGAGATCGAAACATTCTTACAAGGATCTATATAATTAAAACTTACTTTGTAACGGCGGTCCGACGAATGACCCAAATCCTTGGCAAACCATGTTCATGCCAAATGTTTGTGACAAATTATTAAGACCAAACAGTTCCACAACCACAAGTGTAAAAACGCCCATCCAACCTCCTGAAACACGGACGTAAAATGATGATTAAATTGAGAACATTGGTATCAGCTAGTTGAACTACAATCCATAATAACTTTCTCCTAAACCTTCTCACCTATAGCTAGTCCATTTACAGCGCTGTTAATATGCAGTGTAGTGGAGCTTGTACAGAGTGGCACAAGCAGGCTGGTGATGCCACACATGCAGGACGAAAATACAAATATGAAGCTAGTTCCCTTGGTATTCACCATGACTATTCCAGAGAATATTAGACGACCAAATATGCTGCCATATCCCGAAGATGAAACAATGAGCGCAGCTTCTGATGCCGCCATGTTGAATGGTGGGGTTGATACGTAGTCAGGAAGAAAAGTTGTGAAAGTGTAATAGCAAAAGCCGAATGTCACTTGAGCAATGGAGAATGCAAATGCTCCGGGCAGCCGGTATATTTTGAAACAGTTGATTATTGTGTTTCTCAAGGAGACCCTTGGGCAATGAACAGAATCCTCTGAAAAGAAATAAAAAAACCGATTACAGCAAGTGATAAAATGATTATATACTCTTAAAGAAAAGATGTAAAACCACTTTTTGCCAAAAATCTAAAATAATTACATTCAATGAGAACCAAATAAGTCAAACAGAAAGATGATGTGTCTATAATTCGCGAAAACAAATGCAAAGCACATAAACGTAGCGTTTTGGGATCAATTTTACAGCTTCATCCAAACGCAACCGCCTGTAAAAAACGTGCAGCACAGGATCCTGCATTTAGGCATGCAGGCCCCCCTGCTGAATGGGTATAAAAATCTACATCAACGGCTGTTCGTAGAGTCCTTATAACGGCAGTAGAGGCGGTGACAGAATGCCAAGTCTGAATGCAGCTCAACGGAACAACGCCATTGGGAGATTACAAGCTGAAGCAACTCAGCAAGAAGTGGCTAGGCACTTTGGCGTATCCAGACAGACAATCTCCGCACTGTGGACCCGATACAACAACACCAACAGGGTTGACGACAGACCAAGGTCAGGAAGACCAAGGGTGACAACCCAAGCACAAGATCGATACATCCGGCTGCGACACCTCCGAGACCGCACTACCACAGCCACGTCTACAACCACACAGATCCCTGGGGTACGCAGAATGTCAGACTGAGGGTGGCTGGGCTTTTTGCACGAAGACCTGTTCGACGTCATGTATTGACCCCACGTCATCTGGCGGACCGTCTGCTTTGGTGCCAACAGAGGGTTAGATGGGCACGTGCAAGGTGAAGAAATGTACTGTTTACTGACGAGTCCCGTTTCCTACTCACACGTACTGATGGGCGCGCACGTGTCTACAGACGTAGGGGCGAACGTTACGCCCCCAACTGTGTGCAGCAGGTTGTCCCATTTGGCGGCGGGAGTGTCATGGTATGGACCGGAATTCATCACGGTGGTAGGACGCCTATGCACGTGGTGGGCACAACCGATACTGACATTTTCTGTACCCCTGTGACATTAACTGTATCGTGTACGTGTGTCTGTCTAGGTGACACGATGGTTTGAACATTGTGTACATTGATCTTCAAACAGTGTTTCAATTATGGTTTCTGTGTCCTATTTTGAAAGAATCGCATTATATTACATTTTGAAAGTCAGTTTCAAGTTGTCAAGTTTCTTTTTTTGAAGAGTATATATACAGTGTTCTCACATCGGATACTGTACTCCATGTCATATCTTAGTCACTGCCCCAAACTCACTCATTAGAGGGGGACATTTATGACATTGATGATAACTGAAAAAATAGCAAAGGAATGGACATATTGCAGTGTCACCTGAGCTGCTGCGCGGGGTTATCGAGAGAGCACATGGTAGGAAGTGCAGCGCCAGTGCACCATTGATGAGAAATGTCCCCCGCCATCCCATATTGTCGGCAACAGCAGCAGAGAGTGGGGGCCAAGTGAGTATTCCCACAGCTATCCCTGTTACTGATGCCCCAACGGCTAACGGCCGCCATTTTGAAAACTGTTTGTTGACATGCACCATGGCCGCGGTGTAGACGAGGGAAACACCAATTCCTGTTTCAAAGTAAATGTGCGGTACACATATATGCTGGCTTTATTTAAGACTGATACCAGTTCACTGCACAAGGGAAATTACATTATAGATGCACGTTCTTGCGATATATTGGCGATTCAAGTGAAACACTCAACAGTTTTCTTTAATAATGATGTTTCTTTACTATAAATGGTATGACCAATTTTCACCAATACAACGTGCTATGTAACGTTTAGGCAGAGACCCACGCAGTAGTAGTTTGTATTTTGCACTCAAACTGTAGATAATCGAGTCTGGACCAGACAATCAATCGATATTGCGAGTAACAATCCACTTTGTCCGGTACGACGACACAGTATCAACCAAGATCACCGAGCCTGAACACCCGATCCATTTGACTGCCTCTTACGACCAGCATACAATGTAGGTTGCTGAGTACCTAGTCTAACCCGGAATAGGTGACGGTCGCTACGGACATTTGCATATGTGATATAATTCCATCCACGGCAGTAAAATGTTTTGACGGAAGTGTTTTAAAAGTGTTTTGTATGTCACAGTAACTTTTGGCTTTGAATATGTGTTAAAGTAGTTTATTCGTTTCACTATGGAAACAAAGGACAAACTAGTCATAAACCTGTTTCCGTCGACATTATTTTGTGCTTTTAAATTATATCGCAGTCCACGGAAGGATATCTTCCAGGTGAGGTGACATGTCTTTTAACATCGCGTTCAAGAATATTTCACTTACATAGTAACGTGCATGCACGTGTGTGTGTGCGGGGTTTGTACGTCTGTCTAATGATGGTTTTATTGTGCTAGCCTACTGAGATACCATGTTGCATCCTGATATGGATACCCCACTTCGACACAGTGTTTTGACTCCCAAGTGACCAGTCCTTTTATCCTCTAATACCGAGCACCAGGCAGGGTAACAACAAGTACCATATTCTAATGTATTTTGCTATGATGCGGACCGGGAACAGACCACAACCTTAACCTCACCTGGCAGACCCTCTGTGCACTAGACCGCGGAGGCGGTCCGCATATTAGCTATAATAATATGATGCGGCAACAGTGGAGTGAGTGAGTGATAATGGGTTAACGCCGCTTGTAGCAAAATTCCAGCAACATCACAGTGAGGGACACCGGAAATGGGCTTCACACGTTGTACCCATGTCGGGAATCGAACCCGAGTCTTCGGCGTGACGAGTGAACGCTTCAATCACTAGGCTACCCGACTACCCCGCAACAGTGGAGAGAACTGTCAAATCCCAAAATAAACTATCAGTAGTTTTACAGGACTGCTAAAACGTCAATGCCATAGACATACTTATACTGTATCTTTGTCACATAGACCGCCTCCGTGGTCTTGTGGTAGAGCGTCCGCCCGGAGAGCGGAAGGTCCAGGGTTCGATCCCGGGCCGCGTCATACAAAAAGACGTTAAAAGATTGTACTTGTTGTTACCCTGTCTGGCGCTCGGCATTAAGGGGCTAAAACAAGGACTGGTCGGCTCGGAGTCAGTATACTGTGTCTGAGTGGGGTATTCATGTTAAACTGCGGCATGGTATCTCAGTGAGCTAGCACTATAAATCGGCATCAGTCCGGACTAGTACAAGCAGCCACACACACACATACACGTGCATGCACGTCGCTATATAAGTGCAATAATGTTGGACGCGACGTTAAACCCAATTTCACCTCACCTTTGTCACATAACACGAACAAAGTGAAGTCATCATCATAAAACCGCAGTTATATTACACGTTTTTCTATGTATTTACCTGGAAGAACGCCGAGTGTAAAATACAAGACGTATATGTTGTCCAGCTGACTGCCGACAATAAAACCAATCACAGTTAGTGCACTTCCAAATAATGTGGTGAAACGACTCCCGAGACAATCAACACATACCGTTCCAAGAATACCTGGAACAAAAGACTGAACGATCATTTGTATCAATGGCATAATTTATCCACTGGACTGGTATATGTCTGCACGATTAAAATGTAAAACTTTATTCTCACTGAAAAAAGTTAACATAAATAATTATGTGTTCAACAACATATGTATACTTATCGTACGGGCAAACCCAACACATCTCCCCATGACAATAAAGACATTTCGACCCTGACGAGCTGGAATTATAGGAGGCAGAAGTAGCAGATAAACTAGTGATTCTGCTGAAACAAATTGTGGTTTTAAAAAAAAATATGTTTAAAACATGTATTTGTATATCAGAAGCACCGTGTAAAAATATTGATCAGTTAAATCATGCATTGAATGAAAACGTAATTAACAATTTTCATTTTGTACATGTAAATACATGTGAACTGGTATCAATAACAATAAAAGAGTTATCAACAGCATGAATGAATGCTAATCTCACAGGCAAACCCTATACATCCACCCATGAGAGATCCTATCAAAGACAGTTCCCATTCCGTGGTACCCAGAGGTTCCTTCATGTATGTGTACATTACTCCGTACGAGTTTGGAAGGCCACCAGCAGCAAAATTGGCTATAAAACAACTGATGACCGATCCAATTTGCCAGTATCTTGTGCTTTGTTTCCGAGATGATTTGTTTGTCGCGCTGTTTGGACGACCCTCCTCAGGATTGTTGTTGTGATAAATGTTGTTGTCATTGTTACATTGAGGGACGTTTTCATCTTCAAGGTTTAGGCGGTAACAACCGCCGCCGTCAACACCAATGTGGTTGATGTCGCTGTTCTCATGTATGTGGTTACCATTTTCACCGAGGGGCATCGTGTGAATTCACGCTGATAACAATTTGAAATGGCCACCTCGGAAATACAACCCAAAATGCAAAATACCCACAGCTCCTGATTTTATATCAAATCTTCAGTTGGGCGGGCACGTACACTGACTATTTCAACTGCCTCAAACTAGAATGTTCTTGCAATGTCAAATTCGTATCACGGTCTTATACGAGAATAACACACAAGTAAAAAAGCAAGAGGTTTGGCATGCTTGAAGCTTGAGTAGTATAGGTAATGGGGGTTCTGCCGCAACTCCACTGGAGCCTGATTTATATACCTATACCACCACTACAGAGTCGATCCGGGCGATCGTTTACAAGACTGTTTACGAGTATGTCACGGAAAATATAAAGGAGAATCAACTCTTTTCGTAATAGACGACTGCAGCGCGAGTAAAGAACTCACAAAAAAGAAACATATGCTTTCGTATTTAGCATTCTCCGGACGGCATACTCAACATAGCGTTTGGGTACTTACTCAAAAATACAACTCTGTCCTGAAAGATCTCAGAGAGCAGACCAAATGGGTAGCACTGTTTCATTGCAAAGATCGAGATTCATTCGAGGAATGTTTACGTGAAAATGATGTCATTTATACCAAGCTCGAACGAGATAAAGTCAGAAAACTGTTATCGGCAACGAAGCACTGTAAACTCGTATTAAAAACCGATCAACCAGCTGCTAATGCAATTGCTTAGCAAAATGTAGCAAAATGTGGCAAAATTATAGCAAATATATAGCAAAATTAGGGCAAAATGTGGCAAAAATGTAGCAAAAATGTAGCAAAATTGTAGCAAAATGAGAAAATACTAAAAGCCAGAGTGACAAAGAATCCTTTGAAAATCGCAGCTGGGAGAAAGGGTGGGCTGGCGAGGAAAGCAAAACTAAACAATAATTCAAATATTATAACATGGGCACTAATAGGAGTTGCTGGTATAGCGGCTGTATGGTTGTTTTATATGACCGGAGAAGAGAAAACGTCACCCCCGAAGCCACAACAACAAGTTCAATTGGAGGTTAGCCCTCATATAATGCTATAAGAAGCATGACTACTCCAGTTACAGACGGTAAAATGTTGGTAAACGCAACGTATCATTCAGCGGTGGTCACCGGCTTGGCCATTGGCTATGCCCGTATAGCTAAAATGATTACTAAAGCCACACCTCCCAAGCTAGATTTTAATGGATATGATATCAGTATGTCCGTTCTTCATATAGGATTAGCAATGGCAACAAAGGATATGCTCATCAAACAAGGGCTTATCCCGGAAGACATAATGAAGTAATTAAACATTTGAATATTTTATATTATTGAACATTTGAATATTTTATATTCATATAATATGGCATCAATTAGGATGATGGTCGGTGGAGCTATTGTTAATGCTCTAGCTTTTTCGGGGAGTATTTTTTTATTTTCTAGTATGAGAGGTTCGGAGCAGAAAAGACATAATAAAGCTTTAGAACAACTAGAAAAAGCTCAGTCACAATGGGTCAGAAATAGGACATTAAGATTAGACTTTATTCATGAAGAACTGCGTAAGGAAGGACATTCAATTCAAACGTTTAAGGATGTCGAATCTGCGATGCACGAATACTTCCTCGTGTATGGGAAAAAACTTGACCCAATACCGAGACCAACAATGAGTCAGTTTTATACACCGTCAGAGGCTCAGAAAAAACGCGAGGTCATATTTGTGATAATTGGGTTATCAGCTGTTGTGATTTTCAGCTATACCATAACTACGCATAAACCATGACCTAGTTAGAGCGACAGCTAATCTATAAATAGCGTTGGCTGACTGCCTAATCAATATCTCACTAGTGTAGATGTGATTTGCATTTAGACAAATGATATGATAGAGTATAAACCATGAATCAGTGCAGATTTACACTCATGGGTAAGCCGAATCTATGTAACCGACGCTGTGTTGATATTTACTGCGGCATACACAATTATTACATCAGGCACGGAAACATTAACTATACGTGTTCTGTAAGTGGGATAGGGGTCAAAGGTCGTTATTGTTTATGTAAGAAACACGGTGCTGATAGGGTCAGGAACCAGATTATTTATGCTAGGAAGAGAGATTACATCAATGAGAGGAATAGGTTGGGGAGAATATGTTTAGATATATGAAAAACAACCAATTAGACATTTGACTCATTTTGCATATACCATTCAACCACAATGGTTTTTGTCAGAGAGTTGAAGGCTATGGCAAAGCAACGTGGTCTACGTGGATATTCTCGAATGAGAAAAGCTGAATTGATCGATTTATTCGATTTGGAATACAACAAACCCCAGACTGTTAGAGAACTCAAAGCTCAAGCGAGAAACAGTGGGCTGAGAGGTTATTCTCGAATGAGAAGAGCTGAATTGATCGCTTTACTAGATAATAATGTTGATATTGATAATAATCAACAACAACAAGAATTAATATTTGTACCCACATCCGCCGGCGTTGGTAAATATCTAAGAGGTTGGAAGATGGATATTAATTCCAACATGGATGTTAACCATATTAAGCCCATCATATCAAGTAAAATTAATGAGGAGTTAGATGATTTACATAGTATAAAATACCAGCTGACGATTAAAATGTTATTGAGTAAAAGTAGCGCAGACAATAGCACCGAATATACCGAAACATATTTCCGTAGCAATCAAGAAGTTATAACCGAATCCGATACTATAAACACATCATTAGATACATCAATTCAGAGGATACATGAAACTTTAGAACGTTGGACTAATAGAGGTTCGGGTTGGGGTGTGGATAAAATCGATAGTTTATATTTAGATATAGCAAATTATATGCCCTTCAAAGGTGGATCTTATATAGATTTACCCCCGTATTATAAGAAGAAAAAAGCCATAATTAACGTAAAAAATAAATCCGATGACTGTTTAAGAATGATGATAAGATCTGCATTGTTCCCCGTAGATTATAAAATTGCAAATAGACCTTCTAGCTATCCCCCAAACGATGGACTCAACTTCGATGGTATAGACGAACCTACACCAATATCACAAATTGATAAGGTGGAAAAGCAAAATAATTTAGCTATAAATGTTTTCGGACATTCTAAAGGAATTGTTGTACACAGGATAAGCTCTGCTCCGGAACATATTCCCAGAACCAATTCATTTCTGATCGAAAAAGATGGTAAATATCATTATACATGGATAAAGAGTTTAAACAGGCTATTATACGATCAAACAACCCATAAGGAAAAGAAATATTTCTGCGAAAGATGCCTACATGAGTACAGCAGACAAGATCTATTAGAAGCGCATAAAGGAGACTGTAGAGGTGTTGGACAGACCGCTCTCAGGATCGATATGCCTAAAGAGGGAAAAAATATATTAAAATTTGAACATTATTGTAATCAAATGCCAGTACCGTACGTAATTTACGCCGACTTCGAAGCGCTTATCAAAACCATAGAAAATACTGAACGCAATACTGATAGTAGTTTTACGTACAAAACTCAAGAACATATTCCTTGTGGATATATAGTTGTAAGGTATGATGGGAAAACAAACCAGCCCGTGATTTACAGAGGTCCTGATGCAGCGGTAAAGTTCCTAGAATATCTACAAAACGAAGAGAGAATAATCAGGGAAAAATTATCGTGTGAGAAACCCATGTGTATGACGAGGGATAATTGGAGGGCCTATAAGAAGTCAACGAGTTGTCATGTTTGTAACAAACCCCTGAATGGGGATTCCGTAAGAGATCATTGCCACGTCATGGGTAATTATTGGCGATCCGCTCATAACGAGTGTAACTTGAAACTAAAAATGAATTCTCAAACAATACCCATCCCCGTTGTGTTTCACAACCTTAGAGGATACGATTCACATCTCATTATGCAAGCTATCTCAAATACCGACGGCGGTTTAACGTGCATTCCTAACAATATGGAAAAAAACATATTATTCTCGTTGACTAAAACTATTCATTATAGGGACAAGGATGGGAAAGCCAGAATAAAGCAAAGTAATGGGCTTAGATTCATAGACTCCGTACAGTTTCTGTTATCTTCCCTGGGCAATTTAGCTAATGCGAACAATCCCGATGACTTTGTGATAACAAATCAATATACCGATAAGATAACTCGTCATTTGTTGCTGAGAAAAGGTGTATATCCTTACGAATATATGGATGATTGGTCTAGATTTGAAGAAACTGAATTACCACCCCTTGAATCATTCTATAGTAACTTAACAGAATCTAAAATAACAGATGCCGATTATGAACACGCTCTGATGGTGTGGGATAAATTAGGTTGTAAGAATTTAGGCGATTATCACGATCTGTACTTAAAAAACGATGTACTGTTACTCGCCGATATATTCGAGATATTTAGAAAGACATGTTTAAAACAATACGGCTTGGACCCGGCATGGTACTATTCCAGTCCCGGACTATCGTGGGATGCATTGTTGAAGAAGACCGGCGTAGAACTAAAACTACTCACAGATTACGATATGCACTTGTTTATTGAGAAAGGATTAAGAGGTGGTATATCGATGGCAGCGAAAAGTTATTCTTAGGCTCATAATAAATTAGTGGAAGGATACGATCCGAGTAAATCCGACACGCACATATTATATCTCGACGATTTATACGTTTTGCGTTTTACCTTATCGTGAGGAAGAAACAAGAGGTCAGCCTGATGAACTTCATTCATTGTAAAAATATCAAACTTCTTCCTTGGTATATAACGTGGTGCCGGTAAGTATATTTGCCACATCGCTTGTTTCTTTAACCAATCCTTGGCCACATCTTTAGATACCTTAGCCGCGGTGACTAATTTTTTTATTGCTCCTACACCTTTCCAATATCCTCGTGGGCTATAGTAAATTTTATTCATATTTAATTAATATTGATATTTCTTTTAATACGACTTTCGTTGAATCGCATCAGCGTTTTTGCATAAAAATATGCCACCTGTATTAGGTATATAAATCCGGTTCCAGTGGAGTTGCGGCAGAACCCCTATTACCTATAAAAAATTATATCATAGACTCCAGGTGGTGGTGAGCTGGAGCCAATTTAACTTAATCTGATGACTAGCGTTGAATCGCATAG